TGAGAAGCCATGGTGTTCACCAGTTTTCAAAGATTTTTCCTAAGCAGGACGTGAGTGAGATAGGTCTCATGTCCTCAATGGCAAGTTTTTTCCTGGTTTAGGCACCATGACCACAATCGCATGTTTCCATTCTGGTGGAACAGTTCCAGTGAGCCAATGTTTGTTTATGTATTTAGTGAGAGCTTCAATGGCTTCGTCATTCAGGTTCCTAATCATACCATTGGCGATTTCATCTGCACCCGCGGCTGTATTCTTCTTGTTACTAAATATGTCTGCTCTTATCTCAGCGTCCGTAAAAGACTTCTCTAAATCAGGTTGCGGTGATCCTTTATACCTTCTTTGATATGAAGGCGTCGCTCGGTCTTCTCCAAAGCACTTTTTATGCATGGCTTGAATGAGGTCCTCTTTTGTACCAGGGTATAAGTGCAGCAATCTTTCAACGGCTTCACTGTTTTCACTTTTTGGTTTCGTGGGGTCTATCATGGCTTTCGGTATCATCCATGTTTTGGCCGTACTCAGCGTGGTGGTGGTGGTAATGGTGGCGGTGGTGGCGGCGGCGGCGGCGGCTATGTCTTCTTGAGCTTCTTGTTCTTCTTCGTCTTGCTTTCTTCTTGCCAATTGCCTTTGGAGCTGGAGCGGTCTCGGGAGTTGGTAATGAACCTTGATCTCGAGCGGAACTGGATAGAAATCTAGTCAGAATGGACGAAATCTGTGTCGTTGTCCAGACAACTTGGTGTCAGAATGATCACGTCGTACTTTCAGGCACACTCTGCATTTGCTCTAAAGAAGCCACGAAGTTCAAAGCAAAAAATGACCGCAGTTTCCCGAGTGGGAACACTGGTTAGCATGCGGAGCATATATGTTGTACTGCGATAAATGTGGTTTGTAATTTGTGACATGCGTGTGTGTTATGAGTGAACACACACGCACGTAAGCTGCAAAAGACGATGTTTATTGATGAAACACTTTGAGTATTTTGAGCAAGATGGCTTTATGGTTCGTAAAGTGAAGGGTGAGTGGGTCTGGTTGCAGCAGTAGAAGGTCGAAATTCGCAAAGACGTGGTCGATGCAGGTCCCGCGAACCGTGGTCGGATGATGTTTGCTGTCATGCGTTGCTCGTTTTAGCGAGTGCCGCGACTCCATGTAGTCAACCACCCAATCGTCCTTGATGACGTCGTCGTTAAAGTCGCCAACTATCACGAAGGGTCGTCGTTGCGGTCGTTGTTTCAGGTATTCTTCCACGGCTTCGTCGACGTACTTCTCTAAGGTGGAACGCGATAGGTTGGGCACGAGGTACATCGTCATGACGTTGGCTTGCGTGTTGTTGCAGTGCTCGCCGTTGCGCGTTGTTGAGCGCTGGGCCGCAGTTGGAGGTCTTCAACGGAGTCGACGTTGTCACGCTTGACGTAAATTCCCACACCGCCCGCAGGTCGTTGGAACCCGTGCGTGCATGCGGCTGGAGCGTATCCCGCAATGTCGACGTCATTGGTGGCGTTCCACGTCTCGGTGAAGCAAAGCACGTCTACTTTGCGGAGTACGGAGTCTTGCACGGCGTCAACCGCGTGAGCGCACAGCGACCTGGTGTTGAGTAGTGGCAGGGTGAAGTGGGACTCGGAGTCAACGTCTTCGAGCGCGCGAAAGTATCGTTGGGTGACGGTGTCCAGTCTGTGTTTCTGCAAACGTTGAAACTCGTCGGCCATGTTCTTGTTGACGTTTTCGCGCGTGTGATGAAAGTGGTGATCGCCGGCTTCGTTGGTGATGTACAGGTTGTTGACGTCGGTGCAACGGCTCATGGCAACGTACACCAGCTTTTACAGATGCGTCTTTGAGTATTTCCAGATCAAGATTGCATGCACCAGATTACATAACACAGGACACAACCAGGGCTTCACGTCATAAACATATTCGTAGCATTACACCTATATTTGCACGCACTAACATTTACAAGTATTCATTTTTCCCGAGAACTGTCTCTGATTGAAATGCTCTGCCCCATGATTCCCCTATGCTCGACACGCCGAGATGAAACTATACCCCTTTCTTGTCGCTTAAGTCTGCTTCTTTGCCTGTATTTGTCCCTTGTTTTTTGCGAATTTTTAATGTACATGAATTTTGTTCTGCAGTGAATGTATACTGCAGCGGAAGTGTATGTATGTAGAAGAATTTTGAACTGTATTGCCCTCTCCTGCATGGACCATACTTGGTCCGCAGTATGTGATAAATAAATAAATAAATAAATTTGTAGACGACTTTGGAGTAGGTGGCTTCCTGCGACTTGTGTACGGTAATGGCGCTGGCTTGCTCGACCGGAAACTGGCGCCGTTTGCATGTAACGCCGGCCTTGCATTTGATGGCCAGCGTGAGAGTCTGTCGAGCGATGGAGATCCACGCGTTGTCAACGACGTATCTCTTGCGCGTGGCTTCTTGTACGGCTCGTTTGGAACGTGCACGCGCGATTCTTCCAACGGTGGGTACTTCAAACTGCAGCCACGGGCAGTTGATGAAGACGTCGTCGCCGTCGAGGCGCTCGTAAAGTTTTACCGTGCCGACGGCGCCGTTGACGAGCCCTTTCACCATGTCGATGTTGTGCGTGATCATGTACGGTTGGCCGACCACCAGCCATATCTCGTGGGGCAGGTTTCCAAATTCGGCGGTAGACATTTTGGTGACTTTGCATCCAGCGTTGTCGACTACGGCTTGAGTCTTGCATCCCCGGAATGTGTCGTAAGCATATAAGTACACGACATATCCTCCCCACTCTTGTTGGTGTTGATCAACAATGAACGCGTTGTAGTGACGGACCTCTTCGTTTGAGTAGAAGATTCGGACTACCGACGGTGCGAATTCCATGGGCTTCTCGGCAGTCATAAAGCGACCGTCGATCAGACGCACGTCGTTTTCTTCCAGCGCTCTCCTATCACCGATCTTGGTTAGTATGTCCAAGAATGTTCTCGGAGCTGGGGATTTTCCGCTCGACGCCGACTTTTGCACTCCGGATCGCGAGCTCTTCTCAGCGCGGCCTTGCCCACGACGAAGTGTCTTCGGAATTGCTTGCGGTTCCGCCAACACATTGGCTGATGCTATTGGAAGGGACGTCAGTAAGTGTGTTTGCGTATTCGTTAGCATACATTTTCACCAGCAACATCGGACGTGGAACGACCACACAAACCAACCGACGAAGGGCGGCGCGCCCAGACACTCGGTTATTTATAGCAAGCGCCGGCCCCGGCCTGCGCATGTGCGCGTTAGCATACAGCTAGCGCACGTAAAACTAAAGGGCGTGCAGAGGGGACAAGCGAGCGCAGCGCGCGCTGTGTTGAGAGGAGGAAGGGATGCACAGATGGCTGGCGGAGGAGGAGGGGAGGCTGTGGACGACGACGGCGCATGACTTGCCCCTAGTATAACATTCTCCGCATGTCAAACAGGTGAAATTTTGAGGAGCCGAGACGAACCCGTCCGATCCGCTCGACACCACCTAGCGTCCCCTGGCAAGCGCAAAAAAAAAAACGGCAAAAATTTTATCCTAACGCAGGAATGACGTTTGTGGTAGCCACTGCCAATGAGCGCCGTAGCAGACGACTTGGGCGTCTCCCCTCTCTCTCTCGGGTTCTCCAGCATATGGCAGAGATACTGTATGTGCTATCTTTAGGAGCATATACAGTAACTCTAGCATATGGTTGTCAAACGCCTGACCCCGCTGGCGTGCACGCCGGCTATGCCACTACAGTGTACTAGAATGGGAAGTGTGCCGTGCGCGGCGTACACCAATGGAGGCAAGGGGGCCCCCGCAGCCCTGGAGGAAGGAAAAATATAGGAAAGGCCATGACGGCATATTCGTGAAGCCGCCGCATCGCAAATACCCGCACTACCTCCTAGTGGAGAAGCAGATAAACACTTCGTGATTTCCGGTCAGCAGCGACCTCGGAAGCGGTGTTTTCTGCCGGCAGCGAGTCAATCCACGAGTGCTGCTTCTTTTGCGTGTTTTTTTTTAGAAAATCTGTGCGATGCCCAGCTGTAGCATATACTCGGTGCGAATCGCGTGCACCGCCGCATGTACCTGGTGGCACTTTTCACATATGTTTGCTTCGCTGTTGATGGCATTTGCATGTGGAGCTCAGTTGTACGCTCCGTTGGTTCTTGCTCATTGTGTCAACTGAGAACACACGCGAACTTTCGTTTTTAGCGTTGTAGGCATCGTGTGCCGTCTTTAGAAGTTGTGTCATTCATACGAAAGGACACCTTACACCTCGTGATCTTTTCCCCCTCAGCGCCGTCTCAACCGCCAGCTGTCGCTGCACCCTTCACTTTGTTTTTTGCTTCTGCCGCCCGTATATCACTTTGTCATGTGCGTTCGTTGTTTCTGCACTGTTTAGGCAATCGAAAATACAGATGGAAGTTTATTTTTACAACATTGCCGTTGCACACTTCAAGTCAAGTGTTTTTTTTTTTTCTGTAGTCTTAAATTTATTTATGTAGCCTGGCTGAGACTGAATACAAGCTCTCTGGCGCGTCCTGTCGCGAATTCAGATTGGGAAAGAGTAATCGCTTCTTGATTGCCTGTGCCTATATTCTTGTGCTTAACTATACTGCATTACTCCTGTCATGTAATATGCACGCACGTGACTGGCACACTTCACAGGCAGATCTCAATAGACAGAAGAGGGGCCCTGAGACAAAAAGAAAATTTCACAGCGTAAACAGGCATAGACAGCAAAAAATGCATTGCACTGCCGTCATATATTTCGTGTAAAAGGCCTTGAAAGCTAACTAATTTCCCGTTCTAAGTGACGTTTTTCGCTATTTATTCCTTTGTAGCACTGTGTTTGTAGCACTGCGTTGTGGACTTTTGCCACCTTGAAACGAATGGATGTTGATACATATGCCTCCCCTTCTACTTGCTAATGGCGATGCTGGTACGCAATCAATAAATGAATAAATAAGTAAATCCCTTTAGCAACATCAAGTACAGATTGTGATAATGCCTACCGTTTCTTTTGCAGGCCCGGTGATGGCCACACCATGTACGTGGCGTCGCTGGACGTGGGCTCCTCGGGTGTTCGGTGCCACATCTACGATCAGCAAGCCCGAGTCTGTGGAACAGCCTCGCAAAAGGTCGGTGGGCTTTCTTAATACCCCGGCTGCATTGTAATCGTAGCAAATTTTGGAGCTTTAAAAATGATCTTGCTTATGCATCCGTGCCGTGGTGGCGGCAGTACATATAAGCGGAGAAGGGCATGACCGCACTCTTTGCTCTGCGCTTTCGCCGCGTCCTCTTCTCAGTGTGCGTTTCTCGAGCAGTAAATAATTAAGGCTAACGAGTGCAGCTATACTACAAAAGTTGTTTTTATTCGACCCGGTAAATTTACATAAAAATGAAATCTTTTGAAGCTACGTAACATGTGAATGTTCCATTTCTGTAGTGGATATGTTTTGCAAGCGTTGTCTGCAATCACAAAGATGAAAATTTAGCCATTAAGTATAATGATGGCTTATTTCCAAGAAGAACATTCTAGAGTTTTGTATGGTGAGCGTACTGCTGCATCGGTAAGTATAGAAATAATTTGTGAACATGACTGTTTCGGAACTTACACAAACAAATAAGCCAAAACGTGAGCCGTAAGGTAATGACATACTAATTCGTTTTAATTAAACTTTTGATAGAGATGAGGTTCCTAGACATTCTCTATCTTCTGAACGAAGAGGTGCACTCCTTGTGGTTCATTATCTGTTCAATTAAAATTTGTATACTTTTTTTAGGTGTGGAGTACATTAGCATCGCTTATTCTCCCTCCCTCCATAAACCACCGTTTGGCTTCTATGACAGAGGTAGCCTAGAGGCATGTGAACAAAGCGAAACATCTGTGAACAACAACAATGTTACGAAAAGGCTGCTAACCAGAACAAACGAAATAAAACGACAGAGCTCCACAAAAACATCTACATCATTTAACCACCCATCAATCAAAGCATACGACAGAATAAAACGTTAACAAGAACGAAATAAAAAGCTCTTAACTAGGACTATATAGTTGGCGACAACACTATAAAACCGGCAAAGCGGCAACACCAACAAGCCATACCTCGAAGTTGGAGGTGCAGCATGTGGCAGCCATATGCCCGAAGCGTTGTCTACTGGAGGTGGAGGCCCATTTACATGAGCCATTGGGCACTGGTCGGGGCTCACTGAACGAACCGAAGCGCTTTGCCCACTCGTTACGATTGACTTCGTAAAGATGCGCAGTTCTTTTTTAACAGCGAAAGGTCTATATGGCTAGTAGAAACGAAAGACCGTCGGGCAGTGGTGTCATGAGTGGTCTGCATTGGCTGTATTATATCAGTTACGTCATTCGTAGCGTCGTACAAGCACATGCGCGCCATTGGTTGCGTTGTGGGTTAGCTCGTGATGTCAAACGCCGCTGAGTATAGCTAAGGATGTCAAATGCTTGCATCAGCACTACGTTGCGGCGTCATGATTGCGGGAGTGTGTTCGGCCCGGCGAGAGTTTCTTCGGTGGCACTTTGGCTTCGGCTGCGACGTCTGTGACCGCCTGTGGTTCAAGAACAACTACTGTGACTAACGCATTGCAAAACGTATTTAATCGCTCATTACACATTCCTATGGCAGTTATCATGCGTGGCACACCGTGCGGCATGTGACATAATCACTGTAGTAAACCCAAGCAAAACGTGTGTCTAACCTCATTAAGAAGCACGAAAAAGTGTAACCAAAAATTGTGAAAGGCTTCAGTGCCACGTCGGATTAAACCACTAATAAATTCACTGGTTAATCATTTGTTGTATGGAGTGCTTGGGCGGTGATTTTTTTTTGTAGTTTTCAAGAAAAACCTGTTCTAGATTATTGCTTTGTACACTCTGTACAATGCATCATTCGCTCTTGAATTAAAGAAAATTTTTTGACATTGGGGTTTTGTTTAATCTCTTTGAGGGCCTCTAAACCACCCGGAAGTCGAAAGTTAGTTGTGTTGCAAAGGTGTAGAAGTTTACAGCGAATACCTAGTCGTGATAATTATTCTAGATGGTTCCGTGAGAGCAGAATTACACGCGTCCAATGGAGGCCTTCGCCACTGCTATGCTCGTCCTTCCTCCGGGATTGTCTTTAACGTGCCAGTTCCGTGCCTTTAACGTGCCAGTTCCTGAATTAAAATTCTTGTTTTACGTTTTCAGATTGTTGTAAGATGTCGCTTTGTAACCTATGAAATGTAAAATATATCGTCTGATTTGAAATGCAGGTGTCGACAACCTTGCGCCTCTTGATTTCAAGATTCATGATTCAAAATTTGTTGAGGTTGTTTCGAACACAGTTCATGTAAATTCAGAACATTGATTAGGCCGACAGCCATAGGCTAGTAGGGGGTCAAACGGGAGAAGGTTTACAAGCATAACACCAAATTGTATAAAAGTCAGAACATCAAAGAAACGCTTTAATAGAAAACAAAAAAGAATACACGAGAGATTTCATTAGGATTTAAGGTGACGTAAATGCATGATAGCAAGTACAGGAATGGAAATATTATGACATTGTTTCACTTTACACAGCAATGTAAAGATTTTAATATTGTTTCACTTTGTTCATAATCAAACAAAAAATGAGTACAGACAAAACATTAAACTGTGTGTAAGGTTTTGCACATAGTCATTACTATTTTTATACATGTAACAAATATTTTTAAGTGCATTTGAAAAAGCCCTAGTTTCGTTAATCTGAAATGGTATGTTACTCTTCACTTTAGCTCCTACGAACTGTAGTAAGCGTTTATCATAGACGTTATGAGTAGTTGGAAGATTAAAATTCCGCGATGTCATGCATCTAGTGACGCGGGTGGAGAAATAGAAGGTAGATACATCGAAAGGTACACCCTTATGCTGTGACATTACTGATGGTGACTGCGGTTTTATGTTGCCGTATGCAATCAAAAGGTAGAATTTGCAACTTCTATAACAAAGGTGCGCTGAGTTTATTATAAGCGCATAATCTATTATTCTAAGTCCTCGCTTTTGTAATATACGCGTAGGATTGAGCTAAGTTTTAAAGGTCCATCTCTATGAGTCTAAACAAAAAAGTTGGTAAATATTGCCAATAAAATAATATTTAGCAGCCAGTAACATACTAAAGCCAGATGTTAGCTTAGTACATACAGAATTTATTTGTTTTTGCAGTGTAATTATCTGTTGAACACTACAATGAGATATTTAAATTCTTGTATATGCTTAAGTTGGCAGTTCTTCATTGAAAGTCGAAATGACTCGCAGTTTAAATTTCGGTAACGGGAGTTAAAAATGGTGTATTTAGTTTTCCTTGCAATAAGTGTTATTTGTTCAATTTAAACCACATACAAATTTCTTTACTTATTCATTAGCTCTATATTTTAGATTGGCTATGTTGTTGCCATTAACTAATAAAGCTGTGTCGTCAGTATACATTAGCAACTCAGCCGATCTGAGTATGCATGGCAAATCATTTACATATAGTGCTTTCTGGTATTAATTGGTATTCTTTTCAATAAGGGCAGCTAACCCGGCATTCTGAGGTAACTACCAGTACAGATTAAGTGCTGTAATTTCACTTTCGCATCTTTACAACCAGCAGGGTCGCACTAGCCAGATTCGGCTGGCTGTTGCAGACTGTACGTCGGAACTGAGACAACATGACGATCTCCCGCGAAGCTTTTAAATGACTGCGCTACACATTGCTGTTATGAGACGTTCTCGTAGAGGAACGTTCAGTTGCCGCATTTTTAAATGCAAAGCAATTCTTAGTGAACTTCGGCGACCTTGAGCGTATCTATCTGTCTGTCTGTCTGTCTGTCTGTCTGTCTAGCCGCCTACGACTTTTAACTCTCCTGGCCGATAATGGTATCGATATCAAACTTGGTATGACATAACATGACTGTACGATGAGCATAAGGGACTAGTCATAACAGAAGAATCATGACAAGTATGCAATGAATGTAATGATTTACATTTCGTGGTCTTGCTGCTCTTGTGGTGGTTTTGTTCGCATGACATGTTACAACACTGGTATGGTATGACATGGCTGCGTGGCGAACACAAGTTGTAGGCCCGAACATGAAAATCATGATTTACGTGTCATGTAAAACATGACTACATGCGGCGTTCATGATACGGCCGCGAGCGTGTCGCTAGCTTCACATGTACCAAATTCGGTATTACGTGATGCGAAGGGAACACATAAGTAATCGACACGTCCAAACATGATAATCATGACATGTGTGTCATATAACAACATGACTACATGCCACAGTCACGATGCGCTCACGACCGTTTCGCTAGCTTCACATATGCCAAATATGGCATTACGTCACGTGAAGGGATGAGGAAGGTATGTGACTGGTGCAAACATAATAATCATGACAGGCGTGTCATGTGACAACGTGACTACATGCCATACGATGTGCTCGCGGCCGTTTGGCTAGCTTCACATATGTCAAATTCGGCATTATGTCGTGTGAATGCATGACGAAGGTATGTGACTGGTGCAAACATGATAATGATGGGATGCGTATCATTTAAGAACATGACTACATGGAACACTCAAGGCACCAATACACTTCGACGTGACCCGGCGTGTGCGCGGGCCTGCGTTTGTTGCAACACGTCATGCCGGCGATGCCACGCCAGGCGCCAATCTGCCTGCCATATACTTGCAAGGTTTGGCCTTATACTGCGTTGCTTTGATGCATGCGCGTTTGAGCCCGCGCGGCTTCTCTCCGTCACAAAGAGAGGCAGACACAGTACTGTCTGGATCACGTCAGGTGACGTCGTCAGCGCGAAATGCAGCATGTTGCATTTCGCGCTGGTTGCCGCCGGGCCCCGCCGATGGGCGCTGGTCGTTCCTGCTGCGCCTGGCATCAGACTATCTAGAGTGCTCGCGTTTTGCTAGCGTAGCGTTGTTGCAGCCAGCGTGCGCGCGCGTCAGCATTACGAGTATATTGGGCCCTTCATGAGGCGTTAGGGGTCGTTTCGTTAGCTCCACAATTACCCAATTTAGTGTTACGTGACGTAAATGGATGACGACGGTATATGACTGGTGCAAACATGATAATCATGACACGCGTGTCATGTAAGAACACGAGAACATACCACGCTCACAATTCTGTCCCTGCCATTTCGCTAGCTCCACATGTACTGAACTTAGTATCACATGAAGGGTAGAGGTGACGAAGGTAAATGACACGTCCAAACCTGCTAATCATGACATGGAAGTCGTGTACGGCATAATTTACGTCCGCCTCGTAATGTTGTGCTTATTTTAAAGTGACATATCAACCTTCCTCATTTGTGCTTCGCATATCACCGATTCCCATTGTACATGTGATGTGCCAATTCTTACAAAATTTTCGTTATCGCATTTCTTTCTCTATATTATGCACGTATGAAGCATTATTTAAACGCTTGTTGATGTTGATATAAACCAGTGCAAAGGGTAAGTGCTCATGAGGAGACGACATATAAGTTAGTATTAAAAAAGGAAGTACCCTTGAGGAGTTGGTGCTTTTTACTACTTGGAGAAGCTTGACCATCCATGGTGAATGTAAGGACTGCTTTGTTTTTGTTGTTTGATTCTGTGCAGTTGCAGACCGAGTGCCCCTCTGCTGGTGTTTTCGAAGTGGACCCCGAGCATCTGTGGCAGGCTGCCAAGGACACGCTAAGAGCCGCACTCAAAGGTAATCCACTCCAATGACAATTGACACTCAGGCCTATACGAACACCACAGACAGAAGTGTGGGATGCTTTTTGTCCCGTAATGTTTACACACGCTTTCACAGTTTTATGTACGGGTACACGTATATACCGATATAACAAGCTGGTGCGTGCGCATTAGTTGTGCATGCTGCAGTGTTACGTTGGTTAGCGTTTGAAACCTATTAGTAATCAGGCAATAACACTACCAAAACAATCTGTGAGACGCTACCTTGCATTAATAGTATTGCTACGGTATGCGCCTGGCTGTGGAGTGAGCCGGGCATGTGGGAAAAGAAGACAAGGTTGTGTAGCCAGGCCTGAGGACTTCATCTTCGCTTCTAACTGCCTAACTTGATTTTCATCCTGAAAATAAACAGTCAACCTTTATTAAACCTTAATAGGTTTTTGTTGGAGGTGCGGGGTAATCAACGAAGCAACAGGGTTCTGCAAGTGCCTGATTTTCGCCGAATTCGCCGCCTTGCTAGACTGCCCCAGTTGCCATTGATTGAGATGTCTCATGGCGAACACAAAAACCAGATCAGTGCAGCTATAGACCTTTCACCAGTCTCACCTGAACCGCAGTGTTGAATTGAATTGAATTGTTTATTTGTTTGGCATCAAAAGAGGTTGCCCTGGGGCGATGGCAAAAGGCAACATTTAAAATTGCCTGACTAGGCCCCTAGCCCCAGGTACCTGCTTCCACGGCTGGCACCTGTTTGCGTCGGGACCTGTTTGCCTGCTTCCACAGACGTAGACGACTCGAAGCTGTCTTGAAGCTCCGCAAGACTGTCAACCCTTGCTTGTCAGAGGGGGACAGAGGTGGCCACCTATTGAAATTGCCGAGGATGCATATCACTTCCTAATCCGCAAAGACAAATGCCCCGCCGTGGTGGTCTAGTGGATAAGGTACTCAGCTGCTGACCCGCAGGTCGCGGGTTCAAATCCCGGCTGTGGCGGCTGCATTTCCGACGGAGGCGGAAATGTTGTAGGCTCGTGTGCTCAGATTTGGGTGCACGTTAAAGAATCCCAGGTGGTCGAAATTTCCGGAGCCCTCCACTACGACGTCTCTCATAATCATATGGTGGTTTTGGGACGTTAAACCCCACAAATCAATCAATCAATCAGCAAAGACAAATTCTCACATAACCTGACGTCGTGCGCCAATGTTAAATGATCGGCCTTCTATACAGCGACACCAAGGTGCCGTGTTCTGAGTGTCTAGCCAGCTTCGTAGACCAGAGCAAGTGTTTCCAAGAAAGAATACGCCGACATAAGAACGACGACAGGAAGATGAAAGTGTCACGCAGTGCTCTTTCAGAGCACTGTGAGAAGCGCGACCATTAGGTGAACTTTGATAGCACTTCTGCTAGAGACAGAAATTTGGGATGGTGGCTTTTGCTCGAGTCCCAGCTCACTCAGGACACACCCGCTAAGATTAGCCATTCACTAGGGACAGTGCCCTCTGTAGACGTTTACGGCTTCCGAAGCGTGAGGGAAAGGGAAAGCCGGAGCCGTGGTCAAACAAGACGGGTAGATTCTGCCATGACAAACACAGTAACCACCTAATGAAGGGGTGGTCCCGAAACGTCGGTCTCACTACAAGCTTGGCTCAAGCCATTTTAACTTCCTAAATCGTGTATCCAGCCAGACATTTTCCCGTCGAAATGTTTACACATAAATTAAAATAATTCAGGAAGAAGACCTGTTGGGGCGCGTAAATTATGAGGTAACAAACAAAGATCCCCTTTTTTAGCACGAGCTGTTCGAGCCGCACATTTACATCTGTAAAACGTGGAGGTGATTTCTTCACAGAGCGGTGTTCGTTTTAGATTGAAGAAGGTGTGCGTTTCAGGAACCAGGTGTGGGTGTTTGCATAAGCTAGTTCATTGTTCGATAGTTTCAGGTGATTAGCGAAAGAACAACAAGCACGAAAGTCAAATGACTGACAATTACTATGTACATGTACTACTTGGAAATAATTATTTTATTGACAGAAAATATTACACCTACGCACTTTAGGTGAATATCTGTGCACTTGACGCTTGAATATGGAATACGAGAAGTGCAGGGTGTGCCACATACACCACATAATCGCTGTGATGAGAGACAGTGTACGGTGGCAAGGATTTATGGGGAATACGTTTGCACGCTTGTTGAGCCAGCGGGTCTCGCGTATCGCTTCAATAAGGGCCTTGTCGGAGGTGCGGATATTGCAAATCGAATCGTTTGATCAACCAAATGAAAATGAACGTCTGGAGAGAACAGTGTGGCATCCGTTATGATTAGTGGCTGTGGCGTACATTTATTGATGCAGATCGTCGATAAATGCATAGCCGGTAAAGAATGAACTTATGCAGCACTGTTCGGAAAAAAAGTGACCATTTTTTTATCACTGATAATGAGACGTGTTGGTGCCTTCCACAGAATGCGTGTCACTGAGACAATACGCAGACTATATTGTATTTTTCAAAATCCTTGCATGTGAAGTGGCGATATACAACTACTTAAAAAATTGACTTTAAGAGTATGTATGTCTGAGCTAAGTGGATTTCATTTGTATAAGTGATAAGGAATAGTTTAGTTGTTGAGTTGATATTGCGGGAAATTTTGACGGTGTCACGTTTTAAGTAACTCGCCGTAAAGGCAGATAGCACACGTAGCTCCACAAACCAACCCAGCCGCGTTATTAGCCCTGAGCTCCGAGGCGTGCCGCTTACGACAACCAGGCTTTGAATACTTAGTGTTCTGACATGAACGGTATTTGTGTACCCAGCTATCGGAGGGGTGAGTGACCCAACTTCCGGTGTGACGCACGCACATGGGCACGCACTAGAGGGACGTTATTGCGGCTCACTGGATATAAAAAACAGATGCATTAACAAATGACTCCAGGATTCGAACGGTGATGTGTAATTTCGATGCTTTCACAACGACGTCATGGGCGCGTGCTCATCACGCAATTTAGAAATAAAGTGCGTTCGGACTCCTAACGACACCTCCTCGACCGATTGAGAGTTTCGGTCACGATCGAAGAAACCACTTTCATTAGTCTCCTAGAAAAAAAGGATTCAGCGCGACAATGCTAAATAGCTCGTTTCGCTGAAATGTCGGCGGGGGCGTACTTGGTTGTGAGCGAAAAATAGTCTTTTTGTGACCGCAAAATAAAGAAAGGTGCAAAAAAAAAAATAAAACTTGTGGGACCGTGTGAGGATCGGACCTAATTTGTTTGCATGGCAAGCAGGTGTTCACTACATAGCCACAGCATTTGTTGAAACTGCTTTTATATTAATACCATGTAGTAGAAGGAGTCGGCTGAATGCATCGTATTTTTACGCGTAGAGAAGACGTGAACGGTTGAAGGGGCCGTCACGAAGGTGAGCGTAGGAGCAGCCAACAGGTTGTATTTCACGGCGCCGTCATCTTGAGGACAGCCAGCACGTTCACTGGCCGCCGTTTTTCTTGCGCATACGTGTCACATTTCTCTCCTCGCAGATGAAGCTCGCCGGGAGACTTGGGTGAAGTCACGGGGTGAACAAGTTCAAGTGACCAACACAGCTTGGGTTTTAGTGTCTCTTGTACGTGACCTTGTTTGGTTGGTTGAGAAGAAAGAACGGTCCATCGTATGTGGGCGAGAACTTGTGGCATAGACCGCGCTTCCGCACCGAAGCCGATAGCCACGTTAAATCACAGGGGTGATAAGTCGCAGGACGGTGGTGAAAGTCGTAGCGCGTTTTTGATCTGTCGTGTGATATGAAAGCCTGTAAACGAGCAATACGAGAAGAGCCAGGGTAGAGGCGAGTTAGTTGTACATATATATAGTGTAAACGTTTGCGCGATACAATGTAAAAAAGTCAAAGAAGACTTCCAGTGAAAGAGTGTTTCGTTGGGCAACATTGTGAAAGGTAAAATGAAAAGGCCTTTTCAGTATATGACCAACTGCGGTGGTCTAGTGGCTAAGGCTGCTGTTTCCCAGGTTGCAGGATCCAATTTGTCAAAATCGTTGATTGGGCGAGTTGGGCATTCATGATTGTTTGGTATAAGAGCACGGTACGTAGATGCGGACAAGCGCTTGTACCAGTCTATCTTGTCTACATCTACGTACCGTACTTGTATTTTTAAACAATCGAATCCCGGCTGTGGTGGCTGCGTTTTTGACATAGGCGAAAATGCTGTAGGCCCGTGTGCTCAGATTTGGGTGCACGTTAAGGAACTCTAGGGGGTAAAAATTATCAATGTGTTTACTATCAATGTGTTTCAAATACTATCAATGTGTTCAGAAGTTCAGAAGCTGAAGGGCAAGCCGAAAACAAAGCCGCCGGTAGATGAAAGACCACAAATTGTGCCATATACGCACAAACTTTTTCACAACCTAAAAAAAAAGGGCGTTTACATTGTATCGCGCAAACAAAGTACAAATTTTTTTTTTCAGCTCCACCGAAACTTACCGACCTCTGTCCACGCATTGCAGCGCTGCAAAACCTGACCCGTTGTTCTAAAGAAAGCATGCAAGGGCGTTTGTATCTTGTGCGATGTGCGTGCTTTACGAAATTCTACTTACATGCGGCAAAGTTTATATCGGCCAGCACAGGAGCTGCGTTAATCACAGGGCTATAGAGAGCATGAGATTTTAATTAAAGATAAGATGACTGCCCATTTACCCACATACTGCGAATTCTCCGTCTGTGAGCCGCACCTTACAAACATTCGCATATTTGGAATAAGAAAAAACTTCTCCACCTGAATATTTGGAGGCGTAATTTAACAATGTGAAGCGAGATATGTGTATCAGTGACACGTCAGTCACCCTGCCTAAATCTGAAGCGCAATTTTTTGATGCTTTGGTTTCATGACGTGTTAAGCGCGAAATTCTTCGCCCATGTCCTGCGGAACTGTAACTGCGCACATGTGTGCATATATATAAAGAGGGTCTTTTTATAATAATAATAATATTAATAATAATAATTATAATAATAATAATAAT